GCCCGAAAATGAGGCCGGCGCCTCAGCGAGAGCAGCATTTTGGACACAAATGCAGGCGAAAACCCAACTCCGGGGAAACCTGCGTGTAAAATTATCCCGGCAAAGCAACCTAACAGCGATGTGTAGAAGCATATCTGAAAGCATTCCCCTTAAGATTCATATGAAAATCCAGTTGTAGAATTCTGCTGTTCTCGCAGTCGTAGTCGCATTCGCGATGACAGTCGCAGCGGCAACGGCAGTCGCAGTCACAGCCTCAGCCTCAGCCTGCCTCAGCCTCAGCCTCAGCCTGCCTCAGCCTCAGCCTGCCTCAGCCTCAGCCTCAGCCTGCTTCAGCCTCAGCCTCAGTCTGCCTTCAGCCTCGGCCTCAGCCTCAGCCTGCCTCAGCCTCAGCCTGCATCAGCCTCAGCCTCAGCCTCAGCCTGCCTCAGCATCAGCCTGCCTCAGCCTCAGCCTCAGCCTGCCTCAGCCTCAGCCTCAGCCTCAGCCTCAGCCTCAGCCTCAGCCTCAGCCTCAGCCTGCCTCATCAGCAGCCTGCCTCAGCATTCAAAATGTGGCCCAGGAACGGAGTTCTGGGAACTAGAAGAACACGAAGTGGCCTACAGTTGGCTCCGGGCATTCAAAATGTGGCCCGGGAATGGAGTTCTGGGAACTCGAAGAGCACGAAGTGGCCTACAGTTGGCTCCGGGCATCCAAAATGTGGCCCGGGAATGGAGTTCTGGGAAGTCGAAGAGCACGAAGTGGCCTACAGTTGGCTCCGGGCATTCAGAATGTGGCCCGGGAATGGAGTTCTGGGAGGTCGAAGAGCACGAAGTGTGTGACTGTTTGCGAAAAACGAGTGCGGCGGCAGCCGCGCCGGGTCCCGCCCCGGGTCCCGCCCCGACCCCCCTGAGGAGTCATGATGCTCTCTTTTGAGACCACTAGAAATTATAAGTCTTCGCTGTTAGGTAAAAACAGTACGCGGGGGGGGGGTCGGCTACTCCCATTCCGTCATCAGGGGAAGAGGGAGAGTATTATTCATATTGAGTACTAGTAGAAGGTGGAGGATGGAGGAGGAGGAGGGGAGGAGGAGGAGGAGGAGGAGGAGGAGGAGGGGGGGAGGAGGAGGAGGAGGAGGAGGAGGGAGGAGGAGGGAGGAGGAGGAGGAGGAGGAGGAGGAGGAGGAGGAGGGAGGAGGAGAGGAGGAGGAGGAGGGAGGAGGAGGGGGAGGAGGGGGAGGAGGAGGGGGAGGAGGGGGAGGAGAGGAGGAGGAGGAGGAGGAGGAGGAGGAGGAGGAGGATGAGGAAGAGGAGGAGGAGGAGGGGGAGGAGGAGGAGGAGGAAACAATTGGAGCCCTCGGAGGTCTGGGTCTGCACGGGATTCTGGGAGGCCTCTGTATCTCCCCAGGGGTGACGAGTCCAGATCGGCGACAATCTCAGGAGTGTGCCCTCAAACATTTTTTTGGGGTCCTGAACATGTGAGCGTTTTTCGTTTACTGTTTTGCCGATCAGCGCGGGCCCTCGTTCCCCCCCCCTCCCCCCCCTTCTGAAGTGGATCTTGGCTGTTTCTAGGCGCCTGTTTCGAGCAGGCGGAGTCTCCCCCATCGGCCAGACTGCTGCAAGCAGTCGCACTAAGCAGAGGTCCAGAGCCAGACCCCCCCCTCCCACTCCTTCCGTCCAATGTCGAAACGCCGAATACAATTATCCCAGTGCGACCCTACCTAGGAGTTGGAGCCTCTAGGAAAGCAAACTCTAGTGGATGCTGTGCTGCGCTATGCTATGCTCTGCTCTGCTCTGATCTGCTATGCTATGCTATGCTATCCTGCGCAATGCTATGCTGGGCTAGGCTAGGCTAGGCTAGGCTATGCTATGCAATGCTATGCTGCGCTATGCTATGCTGCGCTGTGCTAATGCTATGCTATGCTATGCTATGTTATGCTATGCTATGCTTCCGCTTTGCCTTCGCTTTTCCCTTCACTCTTGCCTTTGCTTTTGCTTTTGCTCGGCACCCAGGGATCGCAACTGGGGGAACCGCGCGTTTGCTTTTACCTTTGCTGTTGCTTTTGCTTGGCTCCCAGGGGACTGGGGGAACCGCCCGGGGCGATTTCCACTGCCCGGCCCCTTTAAGCGAAGAGAGTAAGAACCCTTCTAGGCAGAGCCTAGCTAGGGAAAAAGACGCTCACGATCAGCACCAAGATGAGGCGATGCCCATTTTAGGATGATGCTTCAAGCTGGTAAGTATGGGGGACATCCTCGGGCCTCTTGAGCTGTCTCGGGGCGTGTTGATGACCTCGGGTGGTGGCCAGGATCGCACAACATCCTGAGGGCCATTTTCAAATTGTTACGTCTATTGAGAAGGCCTTTGCCGCCGACCCTGAAGGGGGACGACGACGAATACAGCGACGATGAACATTCAAAAAGCTAAGGAATGGGAGGGAGGAGGAGAGGGGGGTGTAGGAGATGAAGTGGAAGGGGAAAAGGACGGAGGAGGGAAGATAATTCGGAGGTGGAGGGATGAGGAGCTGGATGGCGGAGGAGTCACCATGGATTCGCCATCTACCAGTATGGGGGTGGTGTGTCGCCACCAAGACACAAGGGCAGCGCGGAAACCACCTTGCTGTGTACACACTGTCGGGCTGCCGACGACGACGACGCTGACGTGGGTCAGAGTCCTCAGGGATGATTCTTGGGGTCTGGTCGAAACGCTCTTAGGGGCCTCGGGGGATCTTGCCAACCTCTTGGGGGCCTATTCGGGCTTCCCATAGGCCTGTCGGGAGCATCTTGCAGTCTCTTCGGGGCTTCTTGGGGGCCTTTGGGGGCCTCTTGGTTAATTTCTCCTGGGGGCATTCGGGGCGGAGGGCTCGAAATGTTCGTTTTGGTCCGTCGTCTCGGCACCGTCTTGGCGCCGTCTTGGGGGCTTCTGGGACCCTTGTGGAGGCGTCTTGGGCCGTCTTGGGACTCTCTTGGGCCGTTTTGGGTCGCTCGTTGAGCCTTCTGGTGCAGTCTGGGGGCGATCTGGGAGGCCGCTTGGGCCGTCTTGGAGCGTCGGGAAGCTGGAGAGGCGAGAACGCCGAAATCATTCAAACATCCTAGGACATTTACGACTTTTGTTCTTGATGCACTCTTGGGGCTGCTCCTGGAGGCCTCTTTGAGCGTCTTGCAGGATTCTTGGGCCGTCTGTGGAAGCCGCCCAGGCGTTTTGGAAAGATCCTTCGGCGATTCTGGGCCCTCGTGGACTGTCTTTGGGAGCCTTTGGTGCACTCTTGGCCCGTCTTGAAGCTTTTTCTGCGGCCTGGGAGCCCCTGGAGGGGAAACGTATCTGACCCCCTCGGGTCCGGACCTGGGACCCCCCCTCCCAGCAGGGGAAGGGTCAAAGGTGAGGGGTTTCGCTTCGCGTGCATGACGACGTTGCTCAATTTCGCTTTGGCTGACGCGCTTGAGGAGGAGAGCACAGGAAAGGAGAGAGGAGCGGCGACGGACAGAGGGAAAGGAAAGCGCTGGGAAAGAGGACGGCGGAGACGACGATTAACGAATGACGGCGACGACGACTCGAACAGCAGACCCCTCACACATACCGGCAAGGCCGCGGATTATTTTTACTTGTTACGTACGTCTATTTGGTTCCCAAGCCTTTCGGCTCGATATGTTTCGGGGGGGCGTCGACGGAGCCAATGGGTGCCCGATGAGATATCCAGAGGGCCCCATGAGAAAGAGAGAGAGAGAGCTCCAAGATGGTCCAGGTTTGCCCCAAGTGGTCTCCAGCCAAGAAAGCCGTTCAGAGCCTCCCAGACATCCACCGATCTGATTTTTTTCGCTTCGCGGGTTGCATATTCGGAGCATTTACAGTCAAGTCATTGTGGGGTCTCCCTGGGAATTTCTTGCACGCCTTTCGGAGGCAACTTGGGAGTCTCTTGGGACCTTAGGGGGGCCTCTTTGGGGCCTCGTGGGGGTTTCAAGGGCAGTCTTGGGGCGCTCTTGCGCCGTCCGGCCCCTTTCCGAAGCCGTTTTGGAGGCCTTTCGGAGCCGCCTCGGGATTCTTGGGCCGCATTGTGGGCCTCTTTGAGCTATCTTGAGTCCCCCTTGGGCTGTCTTGAGGCTCTCTTGGGGGCCTCTTGCACCGTCTTGGGACCATTTTGGAGGGTGCTGGGGCCAAACAATTGAACAGGTCGCAATTGCGCAATGGTTGGATAAATACAGTGGATACGTTTCATGTCAGGTTTCGCAGAAAACGCTGCCGCTCAGCACGTCACCCCCTGACGTGGATTCCTCTCACTTTGCGGGAAGCGCGTCCAGACCGCGTACAGTGTCGTTGTTGGAACTCATGGGGCCCTTTTGGGGGGCCTTTTGGAGCCTTTTTGGGCAGCTTTTTTGGGGCCTCTTGAGGCCTTCTGGGGCCGTCTTGGGGCGCTCTTGCGCCGTCTGGCCTCTTCGGAGGCTGTCTTGGGGGCCTCTTGGGTCTTGGGATCGCCTTGGGGCTCTCTTGGGGTCGTCCTGGGCTGTCCTGATGCCCTCTTGGACCGTCTTGTGGGCCTCCTAGGGCCATCTTGTCCGCCCGCATTGGGGCAAGCTAGTTTTGCGAGGCCTTGAGCTGGGTAAGTCGAAGCAAGGAGTGGTTCGCTCTTGCCGATTCTTGGCGCCCAAGCGAGTTGGAGAGAAGCGGTCAGGGTGTGGTCCCAGATCGTCCTCTGGGAGAGCACCCTGTCGCGGACCCTCCGACTGGATGTCGCCCCCAGTCGGAGGTGACAAAAAGACGTCCTGATGGGTGCTCTCCAGGGTTTTTTGCCTTGGTTGGGGCTCGTGGGGATCTCATGAGCGCCTACTGCGGAGGAGGAGGAGGAGGAGGAGGTGGAGGAGGAGGAGGAGGAGGTGGAGAAGGAGGTGGAGGAAGAGGAGGAGGAAGAGGAGGAAGAGGAGGAGGAAGAGAAGGAGGAGGAGGACTAGGAGGAGAAGGAGGAGGAGCAGCAGGATGTGGAGGGGTAGGGGTAGGAGACTTTCCGATTTTACGCCAATCGATCCCGCAGGAAGCTGCATGTGCCGCCCTCCTGCCAGAGGCTCCTCCTGGGCGCCGAGGTGCTGCGCGACAACGAGTGGCCTGCCGCCATCAGCGCGCCGAGCCGCCGCACACGCCACTCCTCCCCTCCCGCCCCCCCCCCGCGGGGTCCATGTCGATCCGATCGATCCGAGTCGATATCGGTCCTGGCCCGCCCGATCCGATTCGATTCCCATGCTCCGTCTCTGTACGACCGGCGTGGGTACGGAAAGAGTGGGGACGACGACCCAGTTGACACGGAAGCCGCATGCCTCAAAAGCGACCGCTGTCGCTTTTGCACACTAGTTGCTGTTGTTGTGCGTCGTAATTGCCAGTCTTTGCCGTACCCTTTTCGGGCGCTCAAGCCGACGGACCGACGCGGCCCGATGTTTCCATGGCACTGTTGTGCATCCTGCTGGCGCGGCCTATCTCATTCGTGTCCGACTCTGTGCCGACGCAGCCCGATCCGTCGCACGTTCGGATTCGATCCGATTCCCCGACTCGATGCTGACCGGTACCCCCTCCCGCCCGCCTCGTCCCTCCTCCCCTGGGCCCCCCCCCGATCCTGGCTGGGCCGATCCTGGGCCCAGGATCGGTGTATATACCTGCCTGCCCAAGCCAGGAGGGCGTTTGCACCAATCCTGGGCCCAAGGTGGGCCTGGTCAGGATTGGTGCAGGTGTGTGGTTGGCGCCCTCCTACCCTGAGATCCGACGTTGCACAAGACGTGCAACATCGCAAGCCATCGCGACCAGAGCCATACCCCCATCTTTCGGCGCCATGTTTCGAGCCGGACCGATCTGTGAGGGCCCTGGGGCCAGAAACAAGGCAAACACTTTTTTGTCAGCGGCGAGGCGGCGAACTCCGCTCCAGCGAGAAGCTAGAAAGGGGCACTAACAGGCGAACTGGCCAGCGGACAAAGAGGGGGGGACGGTCGAGAGGAAGAAGGGACGCTCAGACGTCGAAGAGTTCGACAATGAGCGCAGCCGGAAACAAGGCACTTACGCCTCTTGTGAAAGCAGTGCAACGCCAGGATCTCATACAGTGGCGGAGCGTCCTGGCTCGCCTATAGGCCTATACAAGAATGTTCTAAGAGCCTTCTGCAGTCTGCACGACATGATTTTAGAACACTTCTGGCTGGAACTGCCATTTTTTGTTTTGTTTGTTGTTGTGGTTGTGGTTGTGGTTGTGGTTGTGGTTGTGGTCGTGGTTGTGGTTGTGGTTGTGGTGGTGGTGGTGGTGGTTGTGGTGGTGGTTGTTGTTGCTGTTGTTGTTGTTGTTGTTGTTGTGGTAATTGTTGTTGTTGTTGTTGTTGTTGTTGTTGTTGTTGTTGTTGTTGTTGTTGTTGTTGTTGTTGTTGTTGTTGTTGTTGTTGTTGTGGCTCCAGGATCCGAGGGTACCTCCCCGGCGTCCGGCCCGAGGGCCCGCCTCGACGGCCCGCCCCTCCCCGCGGAGCCAGGCGGCTGGCCGAGCGCGCGGGGGGCCGGGCGCTCTCCCTGACGCTGGTGGTCACCCTGGCGGCCGTGCGCGCCGAGCTGGAAGGCGCCCTCCTCCTCCTCCTCCTCCTCCTCCTCCTCCTCCTCCTCCTCCTCCTCCTGCGGACCCTACCCCTACCCCCCACGATTTCTGAGGGGGCAGGGTGGGGTTCACTTCGCTGGGGAGCTCCCGAACGAAGTGAACCCCACCCTCCCCCTCAGAGATCGTGGGGGGTAGGGGTAGGGTCCGCATGTGGTCTCCTGGCTGGGGGAGGGTCGGCCACGAGCAGCGGGGCGGGCAGGGTTTGGTCGGGCCTGTCCCACTTCAGGAGGAACATTTTTTGTGTTTTTCTTTTTTTTGTGGGGGGGGGGGCGGTTATAAATGCATAAATATATAATATAATATCATATAAGATAATATAATATAATATAAGAAGAAAAAAGCGCCGACAATTCGCCCGTAGGGGGACATGCCCGACCTAAGGGCAGGGGGCGGGGGGAAGGTTTCTCAGAGACACCCCTGCTTCTCCGAGGGCGCGGGCCTGATCTGTAGATGCGAGGCCAGCGCCTTCTAAGACGCAGCCTCCTCGTGAGAAACCTTCCCCCCTTCCCCTGCCCCCTGGAGCGCGCCGCCAAGAATGGGAGGGGGGCAAGGGGGGATGGAGGGGAGGGGATGACGCTGCTGGCGGCGCGGCGCTCTCCTGAGGGCAAGGCTTGCGAGTATCGAGCTTTCATGCGGCGGGGCTCGCTGTTACTTTCAGCGGAGTCGGCTTTTCACACCGAGGCGCTCGCCATAGAGTGGGCGTTACGGCATCTGATCAGCATTGTTTCACCCTGAGATCATCGGCGTTGCGGGGCGGGCCACGGCCCATCCCCGACTCCCCCCCCCAAAAAAGGGCGAGGAAGAGTCTTCCTCCTACTCCTCCTTTCAACGTTGGACCAACTAGAGGCGGCAGTCTGGAGTGTGCTTGGTGCACACGTAAACCAACTTGACGCTGCGGGGAAGGCAATGGCCGCGGAGGGGTGCAGCAGCCCCATGAGGGCGAGAGTAACCCAGTCCGTGGCCGAGGAGGTGAGGGTACCAGTGCAAACTAACATACCATGAACTAACATGAAGGGAGGTACAAGTGAGGGAGCTACAGCTGCGGGTGGTCTGGAAGGAGAGATTCCCGCCACCTCCCGCGTGCTAAAGGAATAAGTTCTTGACGCTTCGCGTGTTCCCACCAGCCGCTTCCCGCACGCGTACGTACTGCTGCCTCGGGGTCTCTCGGCTTCCGCCACCCTAGGAGTTGCAGCCTGCCAATGCCCTCGCCTCCTGGCGTCAATTTTTTGGCCGACGGTCCTTTGGACCACCCTGGTTCTCGCGCTCACGCCGACGTCCGGGGCCTCGCCTTTGCATTTCTCTTTCCTACCTCGACTGGCGGTTCGTTGGCCACTGCCACCCTGGTGCCCACGCAGTCGCTGCTTGAGGTTCGGTCTCATGCGTTATCTCTCGGAGTTGTCCCTGGCCGTCGTTTATATTCCGACATTTGGCGCTTCCGACGGACTTGCATCTCTGCGCGCTGGCAGTTCCATTCAGTTCCAGTCCCTCCAGCCTTCCACCTGCCGTTGGGCCGCTGCGTGAGGCCTCGGCCGGCGAGTAGCTGTTGCTTGCGCGTCGCCCCTGCCTAATTTGTCTCTGCGTAGCCCGCTCGGACCTGACTCGCCGCTGGCGCGCTCGCCCGCGGCCGCTGACTAAACATATCCCCACCAGCCCATTCAGAAACAGCTTGCCAGGCTATCTGAAGCGTTGTTGTGAGAGGTTCTCGGGGGTCTCCAGGACCATCTTGGGCTCTCTTGAGGTCCTTTGTGGGCCCCCTTGGGGCCCTCTGGGGGTTCTTTTGGGGCCATCTTGTTCCCAACCATCCTGTGGTGTTGGGTCCTCGTTCCCAACCATCCTGTGGTGTTGGGTCCTCGTTTTGAAGAGACGGTGCCCGCGTCCTCTCCTCTCCTCCTCTCCTCCTCTCCTCCTCCTCCCCCTCCTCCTCCCTCCTCCTCCCTCTCCTCCCTCCTCTCTGCGTTTCACCCACCCATTACAGCGCTTCGTGGCTCCATAGGGAGCTCCACCGAAGGCCCCAGTGGGGGTGTTCGCATGCGGTTCCCCCACCCAGGGCAGCGTTTCGTGGCCCCATAGGGAGCTCCACCGAAGGCCCCAGTGGGGGTGTTCGCATGCGGTTCCCCCACCCAGGGCAGCGTTTCGTCCCATAGGGAGCTCCACCGAAGGCCCCAGTGGGGGTGTTCGCATGCGGTTCCCCCACCCAGGGCAGCGTTTCGTAGCCCCATAGGGAGCTCCACCGAAGGCCCCAGTGGGGGTGTTCGCATGCGGTTCCCCCACCCAGGGCAGCGTTTCGTGGCCCCATAGGGAGCTCCACCGAAGGCCCCAGTGGGGGTGTTCGCATGCGGTTCCCCCACCCAGGGCAGCGTTTCGTAGCCCCATAGGGAGCTCCACCGAAGGCCCCAGTGGGGGTGTTCGCATGCGGTTCCCCCACCCAGGGCAGCGTTTCGTGGCCCCATAGGGAGCTCCACCGAAGGCCCCAGTGGGGGTGTTCGCATGCGGTTCCCCCACCCAGGGCAGCGTTTCGTGGCCCCATAGGGAGCTCCACCGAAGGCCCCAGTGGGGGTGTTCGCATGCGGTTCCCCCACCCAGGGCAGCGTTTCGTGGCCCCATAGGGAGCTCCACCGAAGGCCCCAGTGGGGGTGTTCGCATGCGGTTCCCCCACCCAGGGCAGCGTTTCGTAGCCCCATAGGGAGCTCCACCGAAGGCCCCAGTGGGGGTGTTCGCATGCGGTTCCCCCACCCAGGGCAGCGTTTCGTGGCCCCATAGGGAGCTCCACCGAAGGCCCCAGTGGGGGTGTTCGCATGCGGTTCCCCCACCCAGGGCAGCGTTTCGTAGCCCCATAGGGAGCTCCACCGAAGGCCCCAGTGGGGGTGTTCGCATGCGGTTCCCCCACCCAGGGCAGCGTTTCGTGGCCCCATAGGGAGCTCCACCGAAGGCCCCAGTGGGGGTGTTCGCATGCGGTTCCCCCACCCAGGGCAGCGTTTCGTAGCCCCATAGGGAGCTCCACCGAAGGCCCCAGTGGGGGTGTTCGCATGCGGTTCCCCCACCCAGGGCAGCGTTTCGTGGCCCCATAGGGAGCTCCACCGAAGGCCCCAGTGGGGGTGTTCGCATGCGGTTCCCCCACCCAGGGCAGCGTTTCGTAGCCCCATAGGGAGCTCCACCGAAGGCCCCAGTGGGGGTGTTCGCATGCGGTTCCCCCACCCAGGGCAGCGTTTCGTGGCCCCATAGGGAGCTCCACCGAAGGCCCCAGTGGGGGTGTTCGCATGCGGTTCCCCCACCCAGGGCAGCGTTTCGTGGCCCCATAGGGAGCTCCACCGAAGGCCCCAGTGGGGGTGTTCGCATGCGGTTCCCCCACCCAGGGCAGCGTTTCGTGGCCCCATAGGGAGCTCCACCGAAGGCCCCAGTGGGGGTGTTCGCATGCGGTTCCCCCACCCAGGGCAGCGTTTCGTGGCCCCATAGGGAGCTCCACCGAAGGCCCCAGTGGGGGTGTTCGCATGCGGTTCCCCCACCCAGGGCAGCGTTTCGTGGCCCCATAGGGAGCTCCACCGAAGGCCCCAGTGGGGGTGTTCGCATGCGGTTCCCCCACCCAGGGCAGCGTTTCGTGGCCCCATGGGGAGCTCCACCGAAAGCCCCCGTGGCGCAGTTCGCATGCGCTTCCCCCACCCAGGGCAGCGTTTCGTGGCACCATAGGGAGCTCCACCGAAGGCCCCAGTGGCGCAGTTCGCATGCGGTTCCCCCACCCAGGGCAGCGTATCGTAGCCCCATAGGGAGCTCCACCGAAGGCCCGCCCCGGTGGTGCAGTCCGCATGCGGTTCCCCCATCCAAGGCAGCGCTTCGTGGCCCCATATGGAGCCCCACCGAAAGCGGCACCCACAACGCGTTACCAACAATTGCTGATGGTTGGGTCTTTCGCCAGGATAATTTTGAAGAGACGGTGCCCCGCGTTTCTCCTCCTCCTCGCCCTCCTCCCTCCAGGGTGTTCGCATGCGGTTCCCTCGCCCAGGGCAGCGTTTCGTGGCCCCATAGGGAGCTCCACCGAAGGCCCCAGTGGGGGTGTTCGCATGCGGTTCCCCCACCCAGGGCAGCGTTTCGTGGCCCCATAGGGAGCTCCACCGAAGGCCCCAGTGGGGGTGTTCGCATGCGGTTCCCCCACCCAGGGCAGCGTTTCGTGGCCCCATAGGGAGCTCCACCGAAGGCCCCAGTGGGTGTTTCGCATGCGGTTCCCCCACCCAGGGCAGCGTTTCGTGGCCCCATAGGGAGCTCCACCGGGGGGTGTTCGCATGCGGTTCCCCCACCCAGGGCAGCGTTTCGTAGCCCCATAGGGAGCTCCACCGAAGGCCCCAGTGGGGGTGTTCGCATGCGGTTCCCCCACCCAGGGCAGCGTTTCGTAGCCCCATAGGGAGCTCCACCGAAGGCCCCAGTGGGGGTGTTCGCATGCGGTTCCCCCACCCAGGGCAGCGTTTCGTGGCCCCATAGGGAGCTCCACCGAAGGCCCCAGTGGGGGTGTTCGCATGCGGTTCCCCCACCCAGGGCAGCGTTTCGTGGCCCCATAGGGAGCTCCACCGAAGGCCCCAGTGGGGGTGTTCGCATGCGGTTCCCCCACCCAGGGCAGCGTTTCGTGGCCCCATAGGGAGCTCCACCGAAGGCCCCAGTGGGGGTGTTCGCATGCGGTTCCCCCACCCAGGGCAGCGTTTCGTAGCCCCATAGGGAGCTCCACCGAAGGCCCCAGTGGGTGGTGCGGTTCCACCGCAAGGCCCCAGTGGGGGTGTTCGCATGCGGTTCCAGGGCAGCGTTTCGTAGCCCCATAGGGAGCTCCACCGAAGGCCCCAGTGGGGGTGTTCGCATGCGGTTCCCCCACCCAGGGCAGCGTTTCGTAGCCCCATAGGGAGCTCCACCGAAGGCCCCAGTGGGGGTGTTCGCATGCGGTTCCCCCACCCAGGGCAGCGTTTCGTGGCCCCATAGGGAGCTCCACCGAAGGCCCCAGTGGGGGTGTTCGCATGCGGTTCCCCCACCCAGGGCAGCGTTTCGTAGCCCCATAGGGAGCTCCACCGAAGGCCCCAGTGGGGGTGTTCGCATGCGGTTCCCCCACCCAGGGCAGCGCTTCGTGGCCCCATAGGGAGCTCCACCGAAGGCCCCAGTGGGGGTGTTCGCATGCGGTTCCCCCACCCAGGGCAGCGTTTCGTAGCCCCATAGGGAGCTCCACCGAAGGCCCCAGTGGGGGTGTTCGCATGCGGTTCCCCCACCCAGGGCAGCGTTTCGTGGCCCCATAGGGAGCTCCACCGAAGGCCCCAGTGGGGGTGTTCGCATGCGGTTCCCCCACCCAGGGCAGCGTTTCGTGGCCCCATAGGGAGCTCCACCGAAGGCCCCAGTGGCTGCTCTCGCATGCGGTTCCCCCACCCAGGGCAGCGTTTCGTGGCCCCATAGGGAGCTCCACCGAAGGCCCCAGTGGCGCAGTTCGCATCCCCACCCAGGGCAGCGTTTCGTGGCACCATAGGGAGCTCCACCGAAGGCCCCAGTGGCGCAGTTCGCATGCGGTTCCCCCCCAGGGCAGCGTTTCGTAGCCCCATAGGGAGCTCCACCGAAGGCCCGCCCCGGTGGCGCAGTCCGCATGCGGTTCCCCCATCCAAGGCAGCGCTTCGTGGCCCCATATGGAGCCCCACCGAAAGCGGCACCCACAACGCGTTACCAACAATTGCTTATGGTTGGGTCTTTCGCCAGGATTTTTTTTTTTTTTTTTTTTTACTTGTGCCCTTTGGGCGGGTCTGAGAGGTCTCTAGGGGCGGCCTGGCCCCCGTAGCTCAAAAGAAGAGGGGTCTTCAATTCAGCCCCCACTTCGCAGGCTCAACAATTGCCCCTCGGGGGAGCTTCTTGGGGCGCTCTTGGGGTGCTCTTGGGCGCTCTTTGGGCCCTCTTGGGGCCCTCTTGGGCCCGTGTTGGGGCTCTCTTGGGCCGTCTTGGGGCCACCTTGAGGCCGCGGAAACCCATCAGAAACGAAAGAGCGAGGGCGCACAATTTTTCCAAAGGTTTTGGAACCATTGTGGCCTCTTGGGGTCCTTGGAGGGCTTGGAGGGCACTTGAAACCATGTTGGGGCCGTCTTGGGGCGTCTTGGATGTATGCAGGAGACTATTTTCAGCCATTTTCAACTATTTTGAGCCATCTTCAGCTATCTTGAGCCATCTTGGAGCCTTGGGCTCTCGGAGGCCCTCTCAGCGATTGGGCTCGCTCATTCCCCCCCTCCCTCCTTCCTTTCCCCCGCTCGCCCCTTGTCCTCCTCCTCCTGCATCCCTTGTCCCAATAAACAACTCCCTCCCGCGCCCCCAGGTGTGTCGGTGGAGAGGGCCAGGCGTGTTTGTTCTAAGAATTCCTCGCCATTTCTGTTCCTGCAGCTTGTGATTTGCATCAGTTCCACGGATGGGGGTCGGGCCTTTTTCAAAATGTGGCTCTCGCTTGAGCGCCGCGTGCATTCGTTTCCCACGTTTGTAGCAGTTTCGCGGATGGGGAGCGGCTACTTCTCAAACTGTGGTTCTCGCATTAGCGCCGCGCACACTTGTCTCAACAGCTTCACGGGTTCATGGCGGTTGTTCTTCAAAATTCGGTTCCCGCTTTATCGCCGCGCGCATACGTTTCGATGTTGCAGCAATTTCAAGGGTGTGCATGGGTGGAGTCCAGAAGTGGTCTTCTGGCACTATTTAGGGTTATCAGGACGCACTTGTCAGATTGATTCGTGGGGTTGAGGTCCCGCAAATGGTGCTGTGGCACAATTTGAGATGATTAGGACGCACCAGTCACGCTTGTTTGCGGTGCTGGAATCCCAGGATGGTGTTTTGTTACAGTGGGACATTTTCAGACGGTTGTTTCCCAACGGGACATTTCCGTAATAAACATAATTTATGGTAGGGATTAACGAACATGGTATGTGTAGTGGAGGTTTATTGCAACATCGTCGACGCGTTCGGGATTTTCACCGGTCCTCCCCTTCGTCCTCTCGCAGATGGATGTCGCATGTGGGTGCGCGACCCAGCGATTGGCTCGCTGCGTCCCTCCCTCCCCCCTCCTGTGGCTCCTTCTCGTTTATTTTCGTCATCCTCCGCGTCGTTTTCATCATCCCCCGTCGTCCTCCTCCTCCTTCTCCTTCTCGCCCACCTCCTCCTGCTCCTCCTCTTCCTCCTCCTCCTCCTCGTCCTCGTCCTCCTCCTCCTCCTCCTCCTCCCCCTCCCCTCGCGGAGAGCTGTCGCCACGGTGCGCCACTCTGCGATTGGTTCGCTCCCTCCCTCCTTCCCTCCCCTGGCCCACTGTTCTTTCGTTATTCTCCTCCTGCTCCTCTTCCTGCTCCTCCTCTTCCTTGTTCCCCTCCTCCTCCTTTTCCTCCTCCTCCTCGTTCTCGTCCTTCTCCTCCTGCCTCCTACTTCTCCTCCTCCTCCTCCTCCTCATCCTCCTCCTCCTCCTCCAACCTCCAACCTCCTCCTCCTCCTCCTCCTCCTCCTCCAGAGCCACAGAGCCACCTCCCTCACCAGGTGGCCCCCCCTGCGCGCAGCTGAGGGCGCTGTCGGACATCGGCAAGCTTGGCCCCAGGGGGGGCGCGCAGGCCGTGGACGCGGTGGCTGGCGGCCTCGAGGCCGAGAGCAGGACCGCTTTTCGGGCGTTTGCGTTTTTGAGATCTGGCGGTCTCGACTGCTTTTCTCTCGCGACCTCGTCCTCGTCGGAGGAGAAGGTGCCCATACCGCTACCTTCAGATCTTGGCGTCGCGGCTTTTTCACAACTGGCGTTTTCGCCCGGTTTCGGGCCCAGGGGCCCTCACGGATCGATCCGGGTCGAAAAATGACGCAGAAGGATGATGGGGTCGGGATCTACGCCGGATCGGCGAAGCCGCGCATGGGCCAGAGGTGCCCCCCCCCCAGCCCAAGGTATCCCCAGGAGATTCGGGGACGCCCACGCGTTCCCAAACTTCATGATCCTCAGGATGTGCGCCGTTTAGCCCAGTGTGTGTGTGTGTGTGTGTGTGTGTGTGTGTTGCTTCGCCCGCTCTGCGGCTGCTCGCCCCGCCCGTGGGTGCACCGCGATGCCGCCCCGCGACGGCTGCCAGGGGCTGCCCTTCAGCCCGGCCGCCCCCCGCCCGCTCGCTGCAGCCCCGCTGCGTGAGATAGGGGGGCAAAAAATGACGTCAACATAAAAACTCGTAGGTCCGCGCGGATTTCTCGGATCGGCGCTGGGGCTCCTCAGCGGCGCCTCTGGCGCCGCCCCTGGCGCGCTCGACGCGCCAGGGAGGGGGTCCAGCGCCGATCCGAGAAATCCGCGCGGACCTACGAGTTTTTATGTTTATGCCAATTTTTGTTCCCCTATGGGAATGCCCTGGCGCCCAGTTCCCCCCCTCCGTGGCCGCCCCCCTTCGCCCTTTCTCCCTTCTTCCGGCAGGCGGGTGAACTCACGATACCGTGCCCTGGTCTCGCCCGGACGCGCGTGCGGACTGCTTCTGCCGCGCTGCGACGTAGAACAAGTGTGTGTGTGTGAGAGTGTGTGAGTGTCTGTGTGTGTGTGTGTGTGTGTGTGTGTGTGTGTGCGTGCGTGCGTGTGTGTGTGTGTGTGTGTGTGTGTGTGTGTGTTTGTGTGTGTGTGTGTGTGTATGTGCGTGTGTATGTGCGTGCGTGCGTGCGTGCGTGCGTGCGTGCGTGTGTGTGTGTGTGTGTGGTGTGTGGTGTGTGTGTGTGTGAAATGGTGTGTGTGTGTGTGTGTGTGCATGCGTGCGTGCGTGCGTGCGTGCGTGCGTGCGTGCGTGCGTGCGTGCGTGCGTGTGTGTGTGTGTTTGTGGGGGGTGCTCACTTCGTTCAGCTCCACCGATGGCGCGCAGCCGCTGTCGGCCCTCCATGCACCGCCCGCTCCGTCTGGAGGGCTCTTGTGGGCAAGCGCACATCTTGATCTTTTGTCGTTTTCCATCCTCCCTCCCCCCCTCCCTCTCCTCCCCTCCTCCCTCCTCCTTCCCTGTCCTTCCCATCTCTCGCCCCCCGCGCGCTCCCCCCCCTCCCTCCCTTCCATCTGCTCCTCCTTCCCTGCCCTACGAGGCAGGTGCCGAGGAGGAGGGGGGGGAGAACGATCCTCCTCCTCCACCTCCTCCAGTTCCTCCTCCTCCTCCTCCTCCTCTTCCTCCTCCCCGTCCTTCTCCTCTTCCTTCGCCTCCTCCTCCTCCTCCTCCTCCTCCTCCTCCTCCTCCTCCTGGTATGCACATGCGCAGGTTCGGTGTCGGCGCCCCCTTCTCGCAAGAGCTGGCGCCCAGCAGCGTCCGGGACGCGGCATCGGACGTGCTGGGCAGGCTGGCCGCGCGAGGCCCCTTCGCGAGGGGGGCCGCCGGGTCTGCGGGCCCCGGGCCGGTCCTGCGGCCCACGCTTCTCGTTTGCAGGGGGGAGGGTCAGAGGAGGAAAAGGTACCCATACCTTTACCGTCGCAGGCCTAGAGGTTGACACCAACACCAAGATCGTCGGTGTGCCTCCACCGAGTGAAGACGATCCCGATCTCGGTGATGGTGGTAATCTTCTGGCTTCCAAGGTGACCGAAATATTGCTACCAACACCGAAATCTAGGATCATCTTCCCCCTGTGGAGGCAACCCCTGTGTTGGTGTTGGTGCCAATTTCCAGGCCCCTAATACCCCTCCCTCGTTTTTCCCTTTTTGGGCCTCCTGGGAGGCCTTCGTCGCCACCGCTGGATTCGCCTTCGGATTCTGATCCGAACGCACCCCAGGAGAGGTCCGGGGAGTAGCGGTATCAGTACCTTTCGACTGCCCCAGAGGGGGCGGAGGAGGCAGGGTGGGGAGAGGGGGGAGGGATTTTGCAAGGGAAAAGGGAGGGGAAGGGAGGGGGGGAGGAATGGGGGGGGGGAGGGGATGGGGGTGCAGGGGAGAGAGGTGTTGGCCGAAGAGATGGGGGTCAGGGTGAGGGAGGATGGAAAACGGGGGAGGGGGAGGAGTGGACGCGGGAGTGCGAGCCAGAGGGTGAGAGGGCGACACGCACCCACGAGCATCTATGCGCACTGTTCGTATTTTGTTATATACTCGTAGAGCGAGGTGTCAAACGTTTCCATCAAGACAGCGAGAGCGAGAGCGAGAGCGAAAGATAAATATCAAGTTTTACATATTGAAAGAGAGAAAGAGAGAGAGAGAGAGAGAGAGAGCGAGAGAGAGAGAGAGAAAGAGAAAGAGAGAGAGAGACGTGATACAGAGAGAGAGAGAGAGAGAGATAGCGAGAGGGAGAGAGAGAGAGAGAGAGAGAAAAAGAGAGAGCGAGGGCGAGAGCGTGAGAGCGGTAGTAGGAACGATGGCGATCGCGTTGTGTGTATACACATCTACTCATGTGTTATACATCCACTCATCTTATACATACACTTGCATGGATCTTGAGTGGCTTGCTGCGTTGGCTTACGCATGTCTTCATATTTACATGGCGAGATGGAGCGCGATACACATTTATGTATGTGTGTAGGTCTATATGTATATATACATATACATATATACATATATATATATATATATATATATATATATATATATATATATACATATATATATATATATATCCCTGGGGGCGAGGCCGGGGGCCCCAGGACAGGTGCCCCGACCCCCCATGGCGGGACCGGGGCTCATTTTCCTTGTGTTTTTACAAGGTTTCCGCGTCCTGGGCCTCGGAGGCCGCTGCCTCCGACCTCCCATGGGAGGACGGGGCGGCCGGGGAGGTCTAAAGTAGTCCAGGAGGGCTTCCAGAGGCTCCCAAGACGGCCCAAGCGGGCCCCGAGTCGCCGAAAGACCGCTCCAGGACGCCCAAGATAGGCCCAACACGGCCCGAGAGGCCCCCCAAGGCACTCCACGACGATTCAAGACGCCTCTCCAGAGCGCTTCAAGAGGCCGAAATCGTCAATTTTACGAAGGTTTTTGAACGATTTTGGCCTTCCAGCCTTTTCGGCTGTCCGACGTTCCAAGACGGCTCAATAGGCCCCCAAGAGCGCCCCAAGACGGCCCAAGAGGGCCCCAAGACGGCCCCAGAGTCGCCCAAGACAGCCCAACAGAGCCCCAAGACGGCCCCAAGATGCGCCCAAGAGGGGGACCACGACTCCAAAATTCGACCCTCCCGCTTGAAGAGTGCCCCAGGAGGCCCCAAGGAGCCCCCAAGAGGCCCCAGGAGGCCCCCAAGAGGCACCCAGGAGGCCCAAACGAGGCCTAAAGAGGCCACAAAACAGCCCCGAGGAGGCCCCACAACGGTCCCAAAACGGCTACCGAGAAGCTGCGAAACTGCCTTCACGACGTCCCCGACAGGCCAACCACGAGATCCAAACCAACACCCATGAGGCTCTGACCCACCACCCAGGGCACGGTGGCGGGAGCAGTGACAGCACTTGTGCACAGCATGTTCCGGCGGGAGCCTTCCGGAACACGCTGCAGGAGGAGGAGGAAGATCAGGAGGAGAGAGAGCCGGAGTGGGAGGAGGAGGAGGGGGACGAGGAGGAAGAGGCCTCCCAGACAGCTCCAAGATAGCCGAAGATGCTTCCAAGAGTGCCCTGGGCGGCCCACGAGGGCCCCAAGGCGGTGCCTGAGGCGCCCAAGACGGCCCGAGAGGGCCCCAAGACGGCCCCAAGAGAGGCCCAAGAAGGGAAATACGAACCGAGAATCCGAGCTTTCTACCCCGAGAGGTTCTCGGATAGTCCCAAGAGGCCAATCGGATCCAAGGGGCCCCCAAGAAGCTCCCAAGAGGGCCGACGAGTTTCCAAGAGATCTCCCAAGGTGGCCCCAAGAGACACAGCTCATTGTTTTACGATTGGGCTTTGACGGGTTTTAATTTTTCCTGCCTTTTGGCATCCCGATGCTCCAAGACGGCCCAAGAGGCTTCCAATACCGCTCCCATATAGAGGAAGAGGCCTCCAAGAGGGCCCCAAGACGGCCCGCGAGGGCCCCAAGACGGTGCTTGAGGCGCCGAAGACGGCCCGAGAGGGCCCCAGGAGCCCCAAGAGAGGCCCAAGAAGGGGAACGCGACCCAACAGCAGAGCGGTCCCCCCACAAGGCCCACAGGAGGCCGCAAGAGGCCCCCAAGTGGTCCGACGAGGACCCCAAAAGTTTCCCGAGGGCCTAAAAGGCCCCTAGGAGACGTCCAAGAGGCTTAAAAATAGCCCAAGAGTGCCCTCGATGCGTCAAAACTGCTTCCAGGAGGCCCCCGGGAGGCTTCCGGATTGCCTCAATCTGGCCGCAGGTGGCCTCAAAGTCGGGCCTCCACGCAGCCAAGACGGCCAATGACGGCTTCAGATTGCAGAACCGATGCCCCCAAGGGACCCTCAGACGCCCCCCCCAAGAAGCACCCAAGAGGTGCCTCCAACAGCCAGTTGACGAAGCATGCGGAACACCCCAGAAGCTCCTCAGATGCCGTCGCGCGCCTGTGCTTGATGGCGTTGTCCAAGATCGTCCAGCACCCCCCCGGCCTGGGCTAGAACCTGAGCGCGCGCGAAGCACGCGCGATGGTTCTAGCCCAGGGACCCGAAAACAGCTGCCCGACCCTCCATGGGAGTACCGGAGCTCATTTTCGCTGTGTCTTTACGGGGTTTCGGCGTCCCGGGCCTCGGAGGCCGCCGCGATGGTCCCGGACATTTTCCAGATCCTCGGCGCGGGCTCCAAGACCATTTCGCAGAGGGCTCCAACAGGCTCCAGGGCAGCCCAAGAGGGCTCCAAGACGGCTCCAGGAACGATTGCAGGGCCTCATTTTTCGTGTGTTTTCTGCAAGACGGCTCCATGAAGACTGCATGTCTGATGAGGATGGCTTCCGCCTCTTGCCCCGAGCATCCCAAACTGCCTGAACGGTTCCCACTTGCCTTCCCCAAACCCAGCGCTTGCCCAAGCGCGTTCCGGACGGTCTTCGCCGGAACGCGCTGGAATGATCACGCGCTGCGGTTTCCCATGCCAACCTCCTCGGACGTGGGCGCCCTGCCACGAGCGCGTTCCGGGAAGATGCTCTCGGGACGCGCTGAAAAGATATGGCCACATCTCGGGGACGCTCCCGGCACCGCTGCCCCAGCCTTCCCGGGCAGCCTCCACAGCGCTCCAGGAGGGCCCAAGACGCCCCCCAGGAGCCCCCAGAATGCGAAAGGATGGCCCAAGACGCTCCCGAGCAGCCCAAGTCAGCCTTCCGACGGCTCTCGAGGCTCCCAGGTGGCCTCCAAGAGACCCCAAGAAGTCTGATAGGTATCATGGTACGGCCCGAAGAGGCCAAAGTCGTATATGTTCAATGGTCGTTTCAATGTTTTTGGCTTCTCGCGTTTTCGAGTTTCCAGCGGTCCAAGAGCGCCGAAGAGCCTCCATGGGGGTACCGGGGCTAATTTTCCCTTTGTTTTTAAAGGGTTTCCGCGTCCTGGGCCTCGGAGGCCGCCGCCTCCGAAATGGGAGGACGGGGCGGCCGGGGAGGTCCAAAATAGTCCAGGAGGGCCTCCACAGGCTCCCAAGACGGCCCAAGCGGGCCCCGAGTCGCCGAAAGACCGCTCCAGGACCCCCAAGATAGGCCCAACACGGCCCGAGAGGCCGCCCAAGGCACTCCACGACGATTCAAGACGCCTCTCCAGAGCGCTTCAAGAGGCCGAAATCGTCAATTTTACGAAGGTTTTTGAACGATTTTGGCCTTCCAGTCTTTTCGGCTGTCCGACGTTCCAAGACGGCTCAATAGGCCCCCAAGAGCGCCCCAAGACGGCCCAAGAGGGCCCCAAGACGGCCCCAGAGTCGCCCAAGACAGCCCAACAGAGCCCCAAGACGGCCCCAAGATGCGCCCAAGAGGGGGACCACGACTCCAAAATTCGACCCTCCCGCTTGAAGAGTGCCCCAGGAGGCCCCAAGGAGCCCCCAAGAGGCCCCAGGAGGCCCCCAAGAGGCACCCAGGAGGCCCAAACGAGGCCTAAAGAGGCTACAAAACAGCCCCGAGGAGGCCCCACAACGGTCCCAAAACGGCTACCGAGAAGCTGCGAAACTGCCTTCACGACGTCCCCGACAGGCCAACCACGAGATCCAAACCAACACCCATGAGGCCTCTGACCCACCACCCAGGGCACGGTGGCGGGAGCAGTGACAGCACTTGTGCACAGCATGTTCCGGCGGGAGCCTTCCGGAACACGCTGCAGGAGGAGGAGGAAGATCAGGAGGAGAGAGAGCTGGAGTGGGAGGAGGAGGAGGGGGACGAGGAGGAGGAAGAGGCCTCCCAGACAGCTCCAAGATAGCCGAAGAGGCTTCCAAGAGGGCCCTGGGCGGCCCACGAGGGCCCCAAGGCGGTGCCTGAGGCGCCCAAGACGGCCCGAGAGGGCCCCAAGACGGCCCCAAGAGAGGCCCAAGAAGGGAAATACGAACCGAGAATCCGAGCTTTCTACCCCGAGAGGTTCTCGGGAAGTCCCCAGAGGCTCCCAACCGGATCCAAGAGGCCCCCAAGAAGCTCCCAAGAGGGCCGACGAGGTTCCAAGAGATCTCCTGAAGGTGGCCCCAAGAGGCACAACTCATTGTTTTACGATTGGGCTTTGACGGGTTTTATTTTGTTCTGCCTTTTGGCATCCCGATGCTCCAAGACGGCCCAAGAGGCTTCCAATACCGCTCCCATATAGAGGAAGAGGCCTCCAAGAGGGCCCCAAGACGGCCCGCGAGGGCCCCAAGACGGTGCTTGAGGCGCCCAAGACGGCCCGAGAGGGCCCCAAGAGCCCCAAGAGAGGCCCAAGAAGGGGAACGCGACCCAACAGCAGAGCGGTCCCCCCACAAGGCCCACAGGAGGCTGCAAGAGGCCCCCAAGTGGTCCGACGAGGACCCCAAAAGCTTCCCGAGGGCCTAAAAGGCCCCTAGGAGACGTCCAAGAGGCTTAAAAATAGCCCAAGAGTGCCCTCGATGCGTCAAAACTGCTTCCAGGGGGCCCCCGGGAGGCTTCCGGATTGCCTCAATCTGGCCGCAGGTGGCCTCAAGTCGGGCCTCCACGCAGCCAAGACTCACGGCCAATGGCGGCTTTAGATTGCAGAACCGATGCCCCCAAGGGATCCTCAGACGCCCCCCCAAGAAGCACCCAAGAGGTGCCTCCAACAGCCAGTTGACGAAGCATGCGGAACACCCCAGAAGCTCCTCAGATGCCCTCGCGCGCCTGTGCTTGATAGCGTTGTCCAAGATCGTCCAGCGCTCCCACGGCCTGGGCTAGAACCTGAGCGCGCGCGAAGCGCGCGCGATGGTTCTAGTGTATATATATATATATATATATATATATATATACGTGTACATACATATAGAGAGAGAGAAAGAGAAAGAGAGCGAGAGAGAGGGAGAGAGAAACAGGAGGGAGCTATGGAGGGAGGGAGGGAGGGAGGGAGAGATGGAGGGATGCAGAGAGAAGCGGATAGTGATCTGGGGAGGAGGGATGAGGATGGAAGGGGGGGAGAGGAAACAGCGGTCCCAGCTGCTCGCTCCTCGTCGTCGTCGTCGTCCCCCTCCTCCTCTTGACCCCTCCCCTTCGTGATGGGCAACACTGGCCGGGGGTGGCGAGGGCCTTTCCTCGCCGAGGTCCAGCTGGGGCACGCCAGCCAGCCTGGCGGCAAAGCTGCCCCGTGCGGCGGGCGCTCCTCGCTCGGAGGCCTGCAGCTGCCGTGCGCGCCGCGGAGCTCGGAGGCTCGTCGTTGCAGTGCGCACTGCGAGCCTGGCAGCAGGCCGTCGCCACGCGCCCGCGCCGACCGTGCCTCCTCGTAGGCCTCGTGGCGCAGATGTGCGGAGTGGACGACGGCGACGGCGACGGCGACGGCGACGGCGACGGCGACGACGAGGACGACGACGGCGACGGCGACGGCGACGACGACGACCCGACGGTGGTCCAGAGTCTGGCTCGGACGGCAGCCGGCCATCCTCCCCACCCTGGCGGCCCTCCGAAACACCGAAGCACGCCGTCAGAGCGGAGGCTCGGCCCCCTGCAGGCTCAGCTCGTCCCGCCCTCTGTCTCCGCCGACCCTCTGCAGCCGGCCCAAGGCCACCACCTCCACGCCACGGCCTCCACGCGGCAGCACGTCCCCCCGTGCTGTTCTCGATCTTCCTCGGGCTCCTCGCGGTCGTTGTGGCGCTCGCGGCGGTGTTCTGGCTCATCGTGGTCGTCTTCGTGGCGCTCGTGGAGGTGTCCCAGGATGTAGGGGAGAACTTGTTGAGGTCAAAAAACATGCCCGGGTGGCCACGGCTCCCGCCCGCATTTGTAAGGCCACGGCCTCCGCGGGCTCCCCAGAGGAGCACGCGCGACCCCGGCGTGCACTCCGCTCCGCTTGGCTTCTGCTGCCGCTCGGGCCCCTGAGGTCGCTGTGAACTCTCCTGCTCGCGCCCTGGCCCCGGCTCCAGTGCTTGGCTGTTGCCACCACCGCAGCTCTCGCGGCTCTACCAGGGGTGTGGTCCAGTTGCTGCCGAATGTTCGGAGGGTGTCTGCTATATACACCCACGCCAATCTTTGCCCCACTATTGGTGAATCGGACGTGCTTCTTGCCCGGGATGTGCTCAGGATTTCCAGGGGCCCCCGCGGCCTCCTGATCGCCCTCCCCGGTGCCCAGAGTGCCCCAGAGGTGGCCCCGCAACGGAGCGAAAAACCAGGGGCGCCTTTGGGCAGGGACGCCTTCAGCGCTCTCCGGGGGGGGGGCGGGGGCGGCGCAGGGGGAGGGGGGGGCGCGTGCAGGGAAAAAGGCAGGCCGCCGCGTTGCACGGCCCTGTCGGTGGCGCCGCGTCTTCTTGCCGATCGGCGCGGGCTTTCGCCCCCCCCCCCCCCCTTCCCCCCCTAGAGCAGATCTTGACTGTTTTTGGTGCCTGTTTCACGCAGGTGGAGTCGCCCCCAGGGGACGCACGGTTCCGAACAGTCGCACCGATCAGAGGTCCAGAGCCAAAACCCCCCTCCCCCCCTCCTTTCCGCCTAATGTCGAAACGCCGATTGAAACAACGCTCGCGTGTTCGTGTCGCGCAGACGCGGCGGCGACCCCGCCGCGGGCGTTCCAGGTTGATCGCCGCCTGTCGCTCAGAAGCGGGTGCGCTGCTGAACGACCTGGCGACTGGAAGGCTGCTGATCATTTAAGTCTGTCCCATCCGCGCGGTGTCAGAAATCAGCGCGCGGGCCGTCACGACACGATCCAGCGGTCAATTTTTTTGGTGGCCCGTGCGGATTTCTTGGGTCGGCGCTTCCGGCGCCGCCGTTGGCGCGCTTCGCGTGCCACTGGAGGGGGTCCAGCGCCGACCCAAGAGATTCGCGCGGACCTCCGAGAGTTTCCATTTGTGCCACAGCTGGCCGGCTATCCGCCACAGATCGTGGCCAGGCTAATCCTAGGCCTGGATCGCTGCGGGCGCCTTCCTGGCTTTGCCAGGAGTGTCTGTCCAACGATCGTGGTCGGAGCGTGGGCCTGGCCGGGATCGGTGTAGATGGATAGCTGGCGCTTCCCTTCCTCTGTTTACGTCTTCGTCCTCCTTGCCACACAGCCATGGAACTCCAGAGTGCAGAAAATGGTTGGCGCAGGCTTGCTTAGGACAGAGTGGAGGTGTCGCCTAACACCAGTACCACTTAGAATATCGGCTAGTTTGTTAACCCCCAGCTCCAAGGCACCACCGCCTAGAAGCCTCATGTTGGAGGCCTGGAAAAAAGGGCCACCAACACCAACATTAGGGGTTGCTTCCACATGGGGAAGCTGATCCTAGATTTCGGTGTTGTTGGGGATACTTCGGCCACCTTGGAAGCCATTGTTTTACCCCCATCACCGAGACCGCGATCTTTTTCCCTCGGTTGAGGCACCGCCAGTAATGATGTTGGTGTCAACCTCGAGGCTTGCGATCGTCGAGCCCCGCACAACCCCAAGTCACCCCGTCAGCCCTTCCCCCCCCCGCAGGGTCTGAGGCCGTGAAACAGATTGCGTCGCCGTGAAGTGCCGCGTCCAGTGTTTTTTTGTACCCCATTTTTCAATATATTTTTGTTTTGGGGGTGGCAGGGGGGGAGTACCACGGGGGTCCCAACTCCCGAGACAGGGGGCTCAAGCCGCCCGCCGCGACGCCTTCAGGGCGCGAGGACCCGAGGGCCCCCGCTCGTCAAAGTCGGCCCCTTCCCGGGGTCCGTCCCGGAGCGGGTCCTGGCCAGGGCTTCCCTGCGAGCCGAGCCGTGTCTCTCCATGGGCCTGCCCAGGAGGCCCTCCACTACCAGCCGATGAAAGCACACGAAGTCGCTTCGCTGACTGTCGTCAGGCAGATACTCTTGAACGCCAACTCGTGTTCGAAGGTAAAACAAACGATGCGCCCTCTGCGTGACTCAGGGGCCCCTCGATCAGTAATTGGTACCTTCGTGAATAACGTGTCGACTTCACATATGTCCTCCTCTCTAATGCCCCGTGCTGATCTACACAGGTATACAACAACAAATAAGAGACCGAATGGGATTCGAGTTGACCTCCCCCCTGCCGCAGAAAGCACTCGAGTCCCCTTCCCCTGTCCCCCTCTGCCTCCTCCCCTGTGCCCTGTGCCGTGTCCCATAGTGCGGCGCGACCTGGCGCGCCACATGGTGCCAGGTGTGGTTTGGTGCCTTGAACCACGTGCACTCTGGCGCGCAGGACACTCCAAGACACATCCTCCCCCACGATATCATTACGTGAGGGCGGGAACCCCTGAGAAGCCTTCTCCCCCACGACGATCGAGCCCGAGCCCGAACCCGAGTCCTAGCGACGACGGCGACGGCGAAGACGACGGCCCGTGCCAAGGCGACGAGCACGCGACGGCGGCGGTGCTCGGCCGCCTCGAGAGCGCCGCGTGGGAGTGCCGGCTGGCCGCGCTGCAGGCCCTCGTCAAGGCCCGCCCGTGGTGGCCGAGGAGAGGCGATGAGTGCCAGCTCCGCCCCGTCCGCCTCCTCCCTCCTTCTCCCCCGCTTCTCCAGGCTTGCCACGGCCCGCCGAGGCCGTCGCGGTGCCATCCGCCTCCCGTTGTTGGGGGCCGCGTGTGTGTGTACGTTTTTGGGCTCCGCGGTGCGCTCGAAGGCGCCCTGGAGGAGAAGCCGTGGCGCCTGCGGGTGACGCCCCACTCCTTCTCCTCCTCCTCCTCCTCCTCCTCCTCCTTCTGCTGCTGCTGCTCCTCCTCCTCCTCCTTCCCCCCTCTCCTCACTTCGCAAGGGTGCCCTGGCATCCTCGCCGTGTCGAGCCTCCCGCTCCCAAAGACGTCCAAGGCGGACGTCCGAGGGCCTTTCGTCCTCGCCCTGCACCCTGGCTGTGGAGCTCGACTGTGCTCGTGCTTCTCCCCGGGCCGCCCTCCCCCCGCCTCCGAGGTGCTCCTCCTGGGGGCCGTTAGCAGACAGTCCGTCCAACTGGCGAGGGCTGCTCTCACGCTTGCAGCAGACGCCTGTTCGGAGGCGGCGGCCCCGGGTTTAGCTCTCAGCTGTCTCTGCGCTGTGCGCACCAGGGGGGGCGTCGCGAAGTGGGGGGCCTCCTAAGAGCTTGGGGGGCGTCTCAGAAGGCGGGGGCCTGCTTCAAGGTCCCAGGGGCTCCCGAGAAATCCTCTTGGGAGGAGGGAGGGCTTCAAGACCCCCCCACCTGCCTTCGTAGAAGGTCCCTTGCCTTCTTAGGCCCTCGCGCCACCCGCTTGTGGGCGCCATCAAGAAAATCGTCGAGGACGACGTCGTCGTTATGGAGTTTCTGGTGGGTTTCAGGATGTGTTCGTCGTAACGGCTGGACGTGGGTCGCACTTCAGGGATCCACGCACCGGGTAAAGGAATTTCAGCGCAATCTAACATGTCTTCCACACGCGTGTTGTGCCATGCTGTCCTTTTGTCGTTGTCTCACTATGCTGTGCGCTGTGTCATCCTTTTCACTACGGTCATATAGTGCATGTCCATGCTTAGAAATTGCACATACGTGTTTGCTACTCCTTCCTCTCTTTCTCCCGCCTGCTCCTGCTATTCCTCCGTAATTGTCTTCCTCTTTCTTCTTTCCTCCTTTTCTTCATCCTCTCCCCAGCCCATATCTCCATGCTGGAGGCAGTCTTGATGCCTCTTTGGGGCCGTTTGGGGGCCTCTTGGGGCTTCCGGGGGCCTCTTGGAGGCCTCTAGGGGCCTTTTGGGGGCCTCTTGGGGTCTCCTGAGTGCATTTTTGGGCGGAAAGCTCGTCGGTTGGGGCTTCCCCGCTTGGGCCCTACTTGAGGCCGTCTTGGGGCTCCCCTGGGCCGTCTGGGGTACCTCTTAGGCCGCCTTGGGGCCCTCTGGTGCTGTCTTGGGGCCCTCTTTGGGGCCCGTTGGGCCTTCTTGGTGCGATCTTCGGGGCCTCTTGGGCAGTTTTGAACGCCGTGAGGCCGAAAGTAGTGGATGCTAAACATGTGCGTCTTCCACTCGTGCCTCAGGGCACGGTGGCGGATCATCAGTAATGGTTCATTGCTGCTCCAGACTGTGTCGTGGGCTGTGGGCCCACTGACCTCCGCCGTCGAATTGGCCCTGCAGCGAAGGCTCTGACGTGTGCGTGCCACCAGGCGAGGGCCTATCGACCAGGGCAGGCGTCCAAATAGGAGGGAGGCCTTGCAAGCAAGCAAGCAAGCAAGCAAGATGGCGGCAGAGCATTCCGAAGGACGCGTGGCCTGGTAGGCGAGGACACCGTGGTTCCTGCCAGTACTCGCTTCGGGGAAACTCACCTCTGTCAGTCAGCCCAAATGGCACTGTCGGCACCGCCGCGGGTTGGACCAAACAGTCTGGTAGGAGCAGGGAGCAGGAGGAGAAGCAGGAAGAGGAGGAGGAGGAGGAGGAGGAGGAGGAGGAGGAGGAGGAGGAGTAGGGGGGATGTGGAGCAAGCAGGAAGAGGAGGAGGAGGAGGAGGAGGAGGAGGAGGAGGAGGAGGAGGAGTAGGGGGGATGTGGAGCA